GTTGTCGTAGAGCTTCCAGTTGATCAGCAGTTCCGACAGGCATGCACCCACCAGCCCAAACAGAGTTGAATCTCGAGTCAACAAAATGAACTACTCATCAAAGAAAGCAAGCACCCAATGCCATACCCTGTTCTCGTAGAGCTTCCAGTTGATCAGCAGTTCCGACAGGCACGCACCCACCAGCCCAAACAGAGTTGAATCTCGAGTCAACAAAATGAACTACTCATCAAAGAAAGCAAGCACCCAATGCCATACCCTGTTGTCGTAGAGCTTCCAGTTGATCAGCAGTTCCGACAGGCACGCACCCACCAGCCCAAACAGAGTTGAATCTCGAGTCAACAAAATGAACTACTCATCAAAGAAAGCAAGCACCCAATGCCATACCCTGTTGTCGTAGAGCTTCCAGTTGATCAGCAGTTCCGACAGGCACGCACCCACCAGCCCAAACAGAGTTGAATCTCGAGTCAACAAAATGAACTACTCATCAAAGAAAGCAAGCACCCAATGCCATACCCTGTTGTCGTAGAGCTTCCAGTTGATCAGAAGTTCCGACAGGCACGCACCCACCAGCCCAAACAGAGTTGAATCTCGAGTCAACAAAATGAACTACTCATCAAAGAAAGCAAGCACCCAATGCCATACCCTGTTGTCGTAGAGCTTCCAGTTGATCAGCAGTTCCGACAGGCATGCACCCACCAGCCCAAACAGAGTTGAATCTCGAGTCAACAAAATGAACTACTCATCAAAGAAAGCAAGCACCCAATGCCATACCCTGTTCTCGTAGAGCTTCCAGTTGATCAGCAGTTCCGACAGGCACGCACCCACCAGCCCAAACAGAGTTGAATCTCGAGTCAACAAAATGAACTACTCATCAAAGAAAGCAAGCACCCAATGCCATACCCTGTTGTCGTAGAGCTTCCAGTTGATCAGCAGTTCCGACAGGCACGCACCCACCAGCCCAAACAGAGTTGAATCTCGAGTCAACAAAATGAACTACTCATCAAAGAAAGCAAGCACCCAATGCCATACCCTGTTGTCGTAGAGCTTCCAGTTGATCAGCAGTTCCGACAGGCACGCACCCACCAGCCCAAACAGAGTTGAATCTCGAGTCAACAAAATGAACTACTCATCAAAGAAAGCAAGCACCCAATGCCATACCCTGTTGTCATAGAGCTTCCATTTGATCAGCAGTTCCGACAGGCACGCACCCACCAGCCCAAACAACGCTCCAGATGCACCCACGCTGATCTGAGGGCAGGGAATCAATGTTGATTCCAGGTAAAATCAGAGAATTGAGAAGGGGTGAGGTTGGGTGGGTGGGTGGGTAGAAGGGGGAGAGAAGGGGTGAGGGGGATGAACAAGGAAAACAAGGGTGAATGATCCACACAAGCACCTTCTCTGAATTTGATATGAAGCATTCGCTGGCGTCACTTGTAGGAGCAAAATGACTATTGACGCAGGGAGGAGAGGGGCGCATATTACAGAGTCACTGCACTGCGGTGTTTAGGTGGATTTCTCATCTGTTTAAAGTTTTTTCAAGCCATAGCGGGTGGTCGTACCTGTGTGTCGAGAAAGAGGCATGAGAAGACGGCAGCAAAGAACCCACTGAGAAGGTAGATGGCCGTCGGTCGCCCTACCACGGAGAAGCACAGGAGAGTACACGGAGCGGACAGCAGAGGGAGCATGGCGCAAAGGGGCACAGAGTATGCAGCATGGTGAATGTTTGCTGTTACACGAATTGAAGGATCATATGTGCTTCGAGAACCTGAATCTATCCCTCCTCCCCTCCCCGCACCTACGTGCGCACCAAGCCCTCCCCCCATAAATTTCCCCTCAATCCCCTCCTCGCCCGTTGATTCGCACCCGTCCAGGCCCCCCTCTCCCCCCCCCTTCCCCCCGCTTCCCCCTCCCCCTCCCTTCCCCACCCAATTACCTACCTCCACCACACAACATCAGTCCATCCCCTTTCCCCCAACCATCTCGCCTTACGCCATACCACCACACCACCACTACACCGCACCACACCACACCACACCACACCACGCACGAACACAGCCCGAACTCCTTCTCGAGGCGGTTGAGCAGGAAGGCGATGCCGAGGAGGTTACACACGAGATGCACCACGCCGCCGTGTAACCACATGGCCGTTACCAGCCGCCAGCCTTGGTGGTAGTTGGTAACCAGGTTACTGTTCAGCGCGCCCATGTCCTGAAGCCTGGAGGGTTGCGACGACGACGGGAGGTCACACATATGGTGGGGTATGGATGTGACGAAGACATGTTTTACGCGAAATCATTCTTTAGATGACTCAAACGTAGTTGGTAACCAGGTTAGTGTTGAGCGCGCCCATGTTGTGAAGCTTAGAGGGCTGCGACGACGGCAGGTGAGGACGACATCCAGACGGATACGCGACAGACGCGCAATGATCAGCTTCGAAACACCCATTAGAGACGTCTGAGTGATATACTCGAAAGAGCAAAGACCGGGCTAGAGGGGAAGAGGGTGGCGGGGGAGGGGGAAGGGGGCGGGGTGGGGGGTTTGTGGGGGAGGGAGGAGGAAGGGGTAGGGTGGTAAGTCACAGGTCGCTTACGTTAAGGCGGTTGGACCGAAGAGAGGGTTGATATTAAGCGGCTCGAAGGAGAAGCGACCCAGCCAAGGCAGCACGCAGCTCTGGCCTTGCGGGTGCGGCTTCGACGGGCAATCATTCACCGCCATGGTCACAATAAAGACTACTATGCAGGCGATTAATACGGTCAGCGCCAGCCATGGCACCTTCCTATACCACCGCGGTTTCCGAGAAGGATCCCGAGGGTTTGAAGGTGGAACAACAGGGGGGTACGCTGCTGGGTTGATTCCGGAGGGGTATTCAGGCGGAGGAGGAGGAGGGTACGCGTACGGTACGATCGTACTGCCAGATGCGTACGAGTGGAACTGACCCCCTTGATGATACGCGGAGTGGCTGTCGTCAGCGTACTCGTTATGAGATGACACGATGGCGGGATGGGAAGGAGCGTACGGGTATTCGCCGGAGCGCGAGTGAGCGAGCGGAGCGGAGGGAGTGGAGGAGAGAGAGGAGGAGGAGCGGAGGCTCGTAGACGACGGCATCTCGACGTCGCTCGAATAAGGATCTGAGCCTCCGCGACCTACTATGCGACCCATTGCGAAATAATCCAGACAATGGGTTCTAAGAGAATGAAGCGGACGATAAGCGGATGCTTAACTACGCGGTAATCGATTCTTTAAGATTGTCCTAGAAGTAGGAGGAGCGGCGCGTATAGCAAGTGATTCCGCCAACAAGCGGTCAAGAGAGATGAAAGGAACTGAAGTTAGGGACAGAACCAATCATCGTTAGACCAAAAGCTCAAGCTACCCAATAGCTCACATCAGATCAGAACCAACATTATAGGTCACCTTGAGCTGTTACAGGGTGTCATCTCCCTGACAAAAGGACCGACAAATGGGAATGGGTGCTGTAGCTTGTCCTAGAGAATGCCGAGAAGATTCACCTCCATTGTATTTGTGAACTGTACAAGTTTCCGCCATGCTCCCACAAACCCATACTTTCCGCTCATTTCACAAAGTGCGTTAGCTGAAAGACGGCGGAAAAGAGGCGATTCTGCAGATGTTTCCGCGCGGGCTGGGCTTGAAATGTTTTTGTCTGTAATCCTCCGCCTTGCTTCACCAATGTCAGCTGCAACTTCCGGAGATTCCGCGCAAAAGCTGTCCATTCTTCCGCCAAGGGCTGTGTTTTGTTCCCCTTGGTGGAAAAAGGGAGGCGCAGAGCGGTGCCGTGCGCAGTCACGGCAGTCCCCGCTTCCGCGACCGAGCTGGTCTAGTCCCCCCTCAGCCTTGCGAACGCTTTCTGTGACACCTTGTGCGCATCGCTTCGACCAGTCACTGAATTCCAACACATATGTTCCACACCGACCGACCACCAGCGAGGTGACACAAGCGAACCTGACATCCGCGATCATGTACACGTAACTGACATAATGTAAGTGTTACACTAGGAGGAATAGTTGTACAATAAATAGTGAGACCCTGCACATACAGATATAGAATATGGACATGGATTCAACGGCACTTTCGACGTGTATAAAAACGAGGAACTTCATTCCGAGTACATAAAGATAAATAGTTTAGATGCCCAACTGCGCCCTGCTGTTTGCTACGGGACGTGGAAAATAGCTGACAGGTGACGTGGCACACGTCGGAAATATCTCATGGTTGGGACCAAGCAGATGCGCTTTTCATTGCACTTTTTCACTTTCTTGACACACAAAAGCCGGCGTAGATCTCTCATCCGATACTTTCATGTGACCTGGATGACCTTTTTCGATCGGCCCGCACTGTCCGCGATTGGTGCACAGCTGTTGAGATTTCTTCATCAACGATAACCACCAATCCGCACATCCACTTTCTTTACCTTTTTCTTCCCTCCTCATCGCTTTCTTTCCTCCTCCTGTCACTCTCACCTTCCATTCAGGGATCTCGTTTCCTTCTGATCTTCAAGACATTCCAAAGAGCCCACATCAAACAGTCTGCTCCCTGCAGCAGCACATCAGCGTTTCCGAGGTTCCAATGAGGGTTTCCTACATGGTCTGCAGACAAACCCAGATGAAGCTGTCTTTCATTTGACTCGCATTAACTTGGCTCTCTTGTTAGCAGTCTTTGCTTGAACGCTTATTGTCGATTGATCGATGCAAAAGGCGTCAAAGTGTGGATTGCTTGCCTTGAATTATTCTTGATTAGGGCTGATCATAGTGTAGTTAATAATCTCTGCACTTAGTCTTTCTTCCGACACTGATCGCTCTCCATTTTTTCAAGGACGTTTCAAAACGAAGCTTTCGCTGGGTTACCAAATTTCAACTCCCTCATCACACCCCATAATACGTCTTTCCGTCGTAACCTCCATTGGTTTTCTCGATGAAGCTCGCCATAACAAGCTTTTCAAATCTTTCCAGTATAAAGCTTTCCCTTCCATAGCTACGCATTCCGCCATGTTTCCTGAAAAGAGAGATCTCTCGTATTTCCTCCCCTTCGGCCCCGCACCGAGCCTGAGCACGCTACCGTCGGACGCGGGATTCGGCGGGAGCCGCGAAGCCGGCGTTACAACCGGCGTTGCCGCCGGTGGTGTTGCCGGCGCAGGCACGAGCTACGGCTTCAGCGGTGCCGGCCCGGCGGGGTTTAACACGGATGCGGCGAACACAGCGGCGTCGCGGCTGTACGCGACGGGAGTGATTGACAGCAGTAACCAGCCAGCGAAAGATAACAACAATCAGACGAACAACAATAACAACAACAGTGCGAGCGTGAGCAGCACGCGGAGAGAGTATGCGTGGCCCGGGACCGTCGCTCATGCGTTCGCCGCCATTGCGCGTGGCCCCGCTGCTAGCCAGGTGCGCTTGCTGGAATCAGCATCAGCTTGCGCTGGTTGTTTCACGAAGTTTGTCCAAACTCCAGTTTCCTGCGTTATTTCACGCGTGCTCTCATACTCGTGTTCTACATCTCCGGTGTCTCCCTGTCCGCGCCGCAGGTGGCGAGTGGCGAGACGTTAGCCGACGCGATAATCGACATTCGCAGGGAGCTGAGTCTCAGCGATGGTAACCCTCGGCTCGCGAAAGGCCTCGCTGAATTCTTCGACGAGGTGAGTTCAACAACCTCGTCTGGTACGCGGGTGTTTTCAAGTCGAATCAGGAATGTGGAAATGTGCATTTGCCAACGTCCCTTCGAGTCTATTCATGTCAACCCTCGCTGCTTGAACGCTATTCTCATCCCTCTCCTCCCTGTCCCCTTAACCCCTCTCGCCCCAAACGTACCTGCAGATTCTCTCCGAGGAGGAATCTCAGGAGTTTTTCTTCTTCACGCTGCCCGGAATGGCCTCGCTCGCTCTCCGTCTCCCGAGCCTCGTCTCCCAGCAGGCTCGGAGCGTGGCTCGGGCAGCCCAAGCCGCAGCGCAATCCGGCAGCAGCGGGGGGGAGCGGAAGCGGCGGAAGCGGAAGCGGAAGCGGGAGCGGGGGGAGTGAGAAGTGGCGGAGGGGGACGCAGATGACGCTGCAGCTGCTGAGGCCGCAGCAGCCGGGGCTTGTGCTTATAACGCAGGAGCTTGCTGCGGCGCTATTGGTGGGCGCGTTCTTCTGCGTGTATCCCACGGCCGGGCGCGCGCAGGAGAGACTACCAGAGATCAACTTCGACCGCCTCTATGGGTGAGTCTCCACCCTCTCACCCCTCTTTCTATCCGCTCTCTCCGTTTGCCCAACCCCTCATCTGTTGCGCTAGCCAAGGGCATATACGAGGAGTCGCCGCAGCAGCAGGAGAAGCTGCGCTGCCTGCTGCATCAATCCTGCCGCGTCCTCTCCCCGTGCCTCAGAGCATTGATTGCCTCAGAATCCCATCGTTCCCCTCCCCATTCCCGTCCTTTCCGAACCTCTCAGCGGCATATACGAGGGCTCGCCGCAACAACAAGAGAAGCTGCGCTGCCTGCTGCACTACTTCCGCCGAGTCGTCTCCTCCATGCCTCAGGGCGCCGTCTCCTACGAGCGCAAGGTGCTGCCGCTCACTGCTGTCACACCCGCCACTGTCACACCCGCTGCTGCCGCCCCGCCGACCCTCCACCCGTTCAACACCCCCGGTACTGACACACCAGGCCACCTAAAGCAACAGCAGCAGCAGCAGCAGCAGGATGTATTGGGTTGGGGTGGGGAGGCAGGGGAGGGTGGAGGGCGGGGAAGTGGGACCATGAGACAAGGCGGAGGTAGTTCGCCGCCCGGAAGCGGTGGGAGTGGTGGGCAGGGTGGGCGGCACGGTAGCGGTAATGGCGGCAGTAAGGGCAGTGGTAACGGCGGCGGTAACGGTAACGGTAACGGTAACGGTAATGGTAACGGGAACGGTTACGGTAGTGGTTACCACAGTGGTTCCCGAAGCTCGCCCATGCAGAAAAGCAGCTCCAACCGAAGCTCAGGTCCGACAACTGGCTCGGATCCGAGCCTGGGAGGGTCGTGGGGGAAGGGCGGGGAAGGAGGGGGGTTGCGGAGTGGAGGGAGCACCAGGAGCTTCGGGGGGAGCTGGGGGACGCTTCCCCCTCCCCCTGGCGCGGACTTCTGGGGGACAAGGCGGATTCCGCTCTGCGCCCTGGTGGTGAGTGCGAAGGGCGTTGTGGGGGGGGAGGGGAGAGGGTTGTTGGGGGGAGAGGCGTGCTGGGTGAAGGGGGATGTTGGAGATAAGAGGTGTGTTGAGTGGGGGGACAGGTTTGGGTGAGTGAGATAGGATGCATATTTGGGAGGAAAAACAGAAGGCATTTGTGCAGTGCTTCCAATCATATCACACCTGTTGCTTGATGCACTGCTCTTTTTTTGTCACATGGCCTCCCCTTACCCCTCTTCCACCCGTTCCTCCCTCCCAACACACCCCCCTTCCCCCTCTCTCCCCCCATGCACCACCAGGTGCCCATGCACCACCAGGTGCATGAGCGCGGCACAATAGAGGACGACGGCACGGGCTGTCTGTAGGTGGACGACGAAACGCCGCAGCACATATCTTCACTTCACACGCTCCTCCCATTCCTCCCATCTGCCTCCCCCTCTTCAGGTGCACGAGCGCGGCACAATAGAGGACGACGGCACGGGCTGTGTGCAGGTGGACTTCGCCAATGCCTTTGTGGGCGGCGGCACGCTCGGCTCGGGGTGCGCGCAGGAGGAGATTCGTTTCGTCATCTGCCCGGAGCTCATCGTGGGAATGCTTTTCCTGCCCGCCATGGAGAACAACGAGACGATTGAGATCGTGGGGCCCGAGCGGTTCACTAGATACACTGGGTGAGTCAGCAGATACACAGGGTGAGTCAGCAGATACACAAGGTGAGTCAGCAGATACACAGGGTGAGTCAGCAGATACACAGGGTGAGTCAGCAGATACACAGGGTGAATCAGCAGATACACTTGGTGAGTCAGCAGATACACAGGGTGAATCAGCAATACACAGGGTGAGTCAGCAGATACACAGGGTGAATCAGCAGATACACTGGGTGAGTCAGCAGGTACTCTGAGTCAGTCAGCAGATACACTGGGTGAGTCAGCGGATACAGCTCGCTGAGCAAAGAAGTTAAGTAGGCGAGTCCAATCAATGGAGATTCTATACCCTGGTAACTGAACCCAAGTTTCATACCATCCGCCATAGAAGCTTTGTTTAGGCGAGCTGCACTCTAGAAAAAATCTTTAGCAAGTGATAGTGAGTAGTAAAAAGTTTGACCCTGTTAAAAACCAAGAATCTGAAAAACCGAACTCGTATTCCACTAAAGGATTAAAACGCGAACATGTTTCGGTCGACTGGGAACGGCCCCAAGTCAAACCTTCACACTCATGGGTAACTACTAATGCGAGTCGTTGGCTGGATTTGCAACTAAGACCGCTAGTCCTAAAACGAGCCACCTACCTGCGCGATTCTCTCTCACTGCTAGCGAAGCTGCAGACTACAGCCTTTCCGCCTTACATTCTCCTAGCGACGTACGACGTGACCTCGCTCTACCCCAGCATAGCTATAGATCGAGGACTTGACGCAGTTAGCAGTTTTTTGACGAGAGACAACACGCAGCTATCTCAACCGCTTATGGCTCTACTGGGTTGGGTCATGAGGAACTCCTACGTAGAGTTCGACGGCGAAGTGTTTCATCAAGTGCAGGGCACTGCAATGGGAACTCCTGTAGAAGTGTGTTTTGCCATACTCTTCATGAGCCGTCTCGATGAGCTGTTAAAGGAGAGGTGGACCGGGGTGTCACCTTGTTACCACGTCCGTTACATCGATGATGGCCTTATCATTTGGCCAGGGTCGCGGTCAGATTTAGAGGAGTACCTGCGCACCTTCAACGGCTTGGATCCGAATATCAGGATCACGTGGAACATCTCGGATCGTTCGGTTGACTTTCTGGACATGGTCCTCCACAAAGGGCCACGTTTTACTGAGCGTGGTATCCTAGACTTCGGTACTTTTCAGAAGCCGATGAATAGGTACCTCTATCTCCCCTTCTCCTCCTTCCACCCACGGCACTGCAAGGAGAGTTTCATCTGCGCCGAACTGAAGCGTTACCTGCTACGCTCGACCTCGGTGTCAACTTTCCTAGCAACGAAACACGCCTTCTTCCAACACCTTCGTGATCGTGGTTACCCCCCTGTTTTCCTTCGACCGATCTTCAAGGGCGTCCTATTCGCACATCGTGCACCACTCCTCGCCGACACTCTCGCGAACCAGCTTTTGCGACACACCTCTCTCCCCTCTACACGCGGACCCCTAGTCTTGAAGACGACCTACACACCTGTGTCAGCTCGGCTCGGGCTAGGGGTAGTTTTGAAACGTCTCAAAACTAGATTACTTTCACGCAGATTTTATACAGAGAGAATGTTTGTTGCTTGGAAAGCTGGGTGTAACTTGCAAAAGTAACTTGTTCGCGCGAGGCTCCCGAAGCTACAGTTGGCGAAGAATGAGAATTCCACGTTACGCCTCAAGGAATGAAGACCCGAGCCCCTCGGTTCTTTCCAGGGTGCTTTGGATTGGCTGCCCAGATATCAGCCACGGTTGTTACGCGCCTAGATTTTGGTTTCTCGAAACGTAGTTCTTACTTAAAGGCTTCGTTCCCACTCTTGTCTTCCATTCTGCTTGCGCTGATGAAGGCTTGACTTGGGGCCTGTCCCAGTCGACCGAAACATGTTCGCGTTTTAATCCTATAGTGGAATAAGAGTTCGGTTTTCAGATTCTTGGTTTTTAACAGGGTCAAACTTTTTACTACTGACTATCACTTGCCAAAGATTTTTCTAGAGTGCAGCTCGCCTAAACAAATGAACTACTCATCAAAGAAAGCAAGCACCCAATGCCATACCCTGTTCTCGTAGAGCTTCCAGTTGATCAGCAGTTCCGACAGGCACGCACCCACCAGCCCAAACAGAGTTGAATCTCGAGTCAACAAAATGAACTACTCATCAAAGAAAGCAAGCACCCAATGCCATACCCTGTTGTCGTAGAGCTTCCAGTTGATCAGCAGTTCCGACAGGCACGCACCCACCAGCCCAAACAGAGTTGAATCTCGAGTCAACAAAATGAACTACTCATCAAAGAAAGCAAGCACCCAATGCCATACCCTGTTGTCGTAGAGCTTCCAGTTGATCAGCAGTTCCGACAGGCATGCACCCACCAGCCCAAACAGAGTTGAATCTCGAGTCAACAAAATGAACTACTCATCAAAGAAAGCAAGCACCCAATGCCATACCCTGTTGTCGTAGAGCTTCCAGTTGATCAGCAGTTCCGACAGGCACGCACCCACCAGCCCAAACAGAGTTGAATCTCGAGTCAACAAAATGAACTACTCATCAAAGAAAGCAAGCACCCAATGCCATACGCTGTCTGTCGTAGAGCTTCCAGTTGATCAGCAGTTCCGACAGGCACGCACCCACCAGCCCAAACAGAGTTGAATCTCGAGTCAACAAATGAACTACTCATCAAAGAAAGCAAGCACCCAATGCCATACCGCTGTTGTCGTAGAGCTTCCAGTTGATCAGCAGTTCCGACAGGCACGCACCCACCAGCCCAAACAGAGTTGAATCTCGAGTCAACAAAATGAACTACTCATCAAAGAAAGCAAGCACCCAATGCCATACCCTGTTGTCGTAGAGCTTCCAGTTGATCAGCAGTTCCGACAGGCACGCACCCACCCAGCCCAAACAGAGTTGAATCTCGAGTCAACAAAATGAACTACTCATCAAAGAAAGCAAGCACCCAATGCCATACCCTGTTCTCGTAGAGCTTCCAGTTGATCAGCAGTTCCGACAGGCACGCACCCACCAGCCCAAACAGAGTTGAATCTCGAGTCAACAAAATGAACTACTCATCAAAGAAAGCAAGCACCCAATGCCATAACCTGTTGTCGTAGAGCTTCCAGTTGATCAGCAGTTCCGACAGGCACGCACCCACCAGCCCAAACAGAGTTGAATCTCGAGGTCAACAAAATGAACTACTCATCAAAGAAAGCAAGCACCCAATTGCCATACCCTGTTGTCGTAGAGCTTCCAGTTGATCAGCAGTTCCGACAGGCACGCACCCACCAGCCCAAACAGAGTTGAATCTCGAGTCAACAAAATGAACTACTCATCAAAGAAAGCAAGCACCCAATGCCATACCCTGTTGTCGTAGAGCTTCCAGTTGATCAGCAGTTCCGACAGGCACGCACCCACCAGCCCAAACAGAGTTGAATCTCGAGTCAACAAAATGAACTACTCATCAAAGAAAGCAAGCACCCAATGCCATACCCTGTTGTCGTAGAGCTTCCAGTTGATCAGCAGTTCCGACAGGCACGCACCCACCAGCCCAAACAGAGTTGAATCTCGAGTCAACAAAATGAACTACTCATCAAAGAAAGCAAGCACCCAATGCCATACCCTGTTGTCGTAGAGCTTCCAGTTGATCAGCAGTTCCGACAGGCACGCACCCACCAGCCCAAACAGAGTTGAATCTCGAGTCAACAAAATGAACTACTCATCAAAGAAAGCAAGCACCCAATGCCATACCCTGTTGTCGTAGAGCTTCCAGTTGATCAGCAGTTTCCGACAGGCACGCACCCACCAGCCCAAAACAGAGTTGAATCTCGAGTCAACAAAATGAACTACTCATCCAAAGAAAGCAAGCACCCAATGCCATACGCTGTTGTCGTAGAGCTTCAGTTGCTCAGCAGTTCCGACAGGCACGCACCCACCAGCCCAAACAGAGTTGAATCTCGAGTCAACAAAATGAACTACTCATCAAAGAAAGCAAGCACCCAATGCCATACCCTGTTGTCGTAGAGCTTCCAGTTGATCAGCAGTTCCGACAGGCACTGCACCCACCAGCCCAAACAGAGTTGAATCTCGAGTCAACAAAATGAACTACTCATCAAAGAAAGCAAGCACCCAATGCCATACCCTGTTTCTCGTAGAGCTTCCAGTTGATCAGCAGTTCCGACAGGCACGCACCCACCAGCCCAAACAGAGTTGAATCTCGAGTCAACCAAAATGAACTACTCATCAAAGAAAGCAAGCACCCAATGCCATACCCTGTTGTCGTAGAGCTTCCAGTTGATCAGCAGTTCCGACAGGCACGCACCCACAGCCCACAACAGAGTTGAATCTCGAGTCAACAAAATGAACTACTCATCAAAGAAAGCAAGCACCCAATGCCATACCCTGTTGTCGTAGAGCTTCCAGTTGATCAGCAGTTCCGACAGGCACGCACCCACCAGCCCAAACAGAGTTTGAATCTCGAGTCAACAAAATGAACTACTCATCAAAGAAAGCAAGCACCCAATGCCATACCCTGTTGTCGTAGAGCTTCCAGTTGATCAGCAGTTCCGACAGGCACGCACCACCAGCCCAAACAGAGTTGAATCTCGACGTCAACAAAATGAACTATCATCAAAGAAAGCAAGCACCCAATGCCATACCCTGTTCGTCGTAGAGCTTCCAGTTGATCAGCAGTTCCGACAGGCACGCACCCACCAGCCCAAACAGAGTTGAATCTCGAGTCAACAAAATGAACTACTCATCAAAGAAAGCAAGCACCCAATGCCATACCCTGTTGTCGTAGAGCTTCCAGTTGATCAGCAGTTCCGACAGGCACGCACCCACCAGCCCAAACAGAGTTGAATCTCGAGTCAACAAAATGAACTACTCATCAAAGAAAGCAAGCACCCAATGCCATACCCTGTTGTCGTAGAGCTTCCAGTTGATCAGCAGTTCGACAGGCACGCCACCCACCAGCCCAAACAGAGTTGAATCTCGATGTCAACAAAATGAACTACTCAT